AATACCGTACGGATTAAACCGAAAATTTCCATAAGATTGTCACAAAATGCAGATAGAGTTATTCAAAACCGTACGATTAATATTCCTTTAACCAGTAACATTTATTACCAACAATCCGCCAGTTTTAATTTATGCAAATCCTTACATTTCCTCTGTCATGGAAACTTTCAAGCTATCAATATTTCTAGTAATCCCAAAGCACATTCATCAACCGCCAGTTCAGAGATCGGAAAATGAGAATTCAAAGGAAAGAAATATAAAAAAATAATTTGAATCGCACGAATTGAAAACTGTTTGAACCTTTGGTCGTTTAATTCCAACCAATCTGAAATAAAAAGCTTCCATACGAGCATTTTTGCCATTTCAAAAATTCTGTACTACGCGTTGTTCACTGTATCGATGGCATACATCATTTGGTTCAATCTTCTGCTATGTATCGCTTCAGTTCAAAATATTCCAGGTAAGAAATATTCATTCTATGCTCAACGGAAAGTCCACAGTAAGGGTATACTTTGCTAACACATGAAACGATCACAAAGTTCATTAAGCCAACAAAGTCACTCGGAGCAAAGAGTATTTCTCAGAAAACCTTAACATTCACGACAATTTGGACGATTTAGTACTAATTGCTTCCGATACAGTTGCACATAACAGTGAGTGGGAAATACTAGTGGACAATTACTGGATGTTAAGGACAATTACAATTAGTGGACAATTATTAGTAGTAAAGAATTATATAATGATATATCGTCTTATTCCTTTTTACTTTACTGCTTTCACTCCATTCCGCGAAGTTGAAAATGCAACCAGTAATTAATCTATGATCGAAACTGTTCTCGCCCATACCAAGGAATGCACAACTATCCGCTGTGCGGGATTCCATCAGATGTAACATTAAGACTTGGTTTCTGTCGCAAATGTATGCAAAAAGTTGAATACTTTCGCGTATTTCACGTATTCTAAATTGTTTGGAATGTGAAGATTGTTTTATGGGATTGATATCTTCATGATCAGTTTCCCAATTGAGTCAGCTAATTACCAAATGCAGTGATTGCAAAACAAATTATAGACACAAATGTCATAACAGTTGTTTTTCAGATGTGAAAAAGTATGAGTGTCCACATGTCGACTGTAATGCGACCATGCAGGACAAGGGTGAATATGACAAACATTTCCGAACGCACGATAAACCATTTCGTTATCAATGCAAACTTCCCGGTTGTGGGAAGGAATTTCACAAATCATGCTCATTTTCCAGACACAAGAAATTCTGTCAACACAAACCTCCGAGTAAATACTTCTTCAGTTTTAAACAATCACTGAGAAGACAATAAATATTCCCACAGAGCTTCTCAGTTTTGCAAATTCGGCAAAGTTTTCAGCATTTATTTGTCTACCTGAAATGGATGCATGTGAAACTATATTGACGAAATATCTATGATTATAGAGGCACTTCCATTGGCACAACGAAGTGATGTCTAACAAATGCTCATTTTGTGCCCAACGAAATGAAATCCACACTTGCGGCACACTTTAGTAGACACACGGAACCATCACAATGTCGGTCAAACTTCATTAGGTTAACAAGACCTTTGGGGGATGAGTATTTCTCAGGAAACGTTAACATCCATAGCAACTTGGATTTAGCACTAGTTGTTTCGGATATGGTAATACTAATAGAAATACCAATGCAATAACCGGGAACAAGTAATAAAGATCTATATAATGACGTGTTTTATTTCCTTTCACTTTGCTGTCTTCACTCAATTGCTAACGGTACTTAATATAAGCAGCAATTAATCAAAGGTCGAAGCTGTTCTCTCCAACACCAAAAAATTCACAACTATCCGTTGCACAAGGTTCCATCAGATGTAACATTAAGACTTGGTTTTTGCCGCAAATATATCCAAAATATTGAACACTATCGCGTAATTCACGTATTCTAAATTAATTGGAATGCGAAGTTTGTTTTATGGGATTGATATCTTCATGATCAGTTTCCTAATTGAGTCAGCTAATTACCAAATGCAGTGATTGCAAAACAAATTATAGAAACAAATGTCATGACAGTTGTTTTTCAGGTGTGAAAAAGTATGAGTGTCCACATGTCGACTGTAATGCGACCATGCAGGGCAAAGACGAATATGACAAACATTTCCAAACGCACGATAAACCATTTCGTTATCAATGCAAACTTCCCGATTGTGGGAAAGAATTCCGCAATCCATCATCATTTTCCAAACACAAGAAATTCTGTCAATACAAACTTCAAAGTAAAAAGTTCCTCAATTTTTAGGAATCACTGAGAAGACAGCAAATATTCCCACACAGCTTCTCAGTTTTGCAAATTCGGCAAAGTTTTCAGCATTTATTTGTCTACCTGAAATGGATGCATGTGAAACTATATTGACGAAATATCTATGATTATAGAGGCACTTCCATTGGCACAACGAAGTGATGTCTAACAAATGCTCATTTTGTGCCCAACGAAATGAAATCCACACTTGCGGCACACTTTAGTAGACACAGGAACCATCAGAATGTCGGTCAAAGTTCATTAGGTTAACAAGACCATTCGGTGCATGAGTATTTCTCAGGAAACGTTAACATCCATAGGAACTTATATTTAGCACTAGTTGTCTCAGATACGATCGCATATTACAGTGGATGGGAAGTACTAATGGACAATTAACGGAAACAAACAGTAGAGAATTATTTATATAATAACATATCGTTTTAATCCCTTCCACTTTACTGCTTTTACTCATTTACATGAAATTCAAAGTATAAGATACAAAGGATCCGAATCCGAAGTTGATCTAATTTCAGCAAAAGTTTCAGAATTATCGTTTTGAATCCCAGAATATTACGTTTTTTTTAAAAAAAAAAAAAAAGCATAATTTTCAAAATCACCCTCATCCGATATTTTTTCGTTAGAGGCAACACTGAGAACGAGCGTCTTGTTTTAAGAAAACATACGGTAAAAAAGTGAACAACATCTCGTAATTTAAGTAACCTTAAATGTAATTTAATAGGTCAATGATGCTAATACAGCATTTTTCAAATTATATTCATTAATTAGCGTGTAAAATGATATTTTTAAACACAAACGTCGTAACAGTTTTTCAGTTGAGCGAAAGCGTAAATGTCATTATTGTGCTGCGACTATTCAGACGGGACAGGAATATTCAAAGCATCTTGAAACGCACAAGGAACATGGTTTATATAAGTGCACTTGGTCTACATGTGGAAAGAAATGGCGTACCCTAAAATTACTTCGACAGCATTACGAGAAACATCAACCTAAACTTCAATGTGAAATCTGTGGCTCTTTCTTTTCTTATAAGAGAGCACTAGGAGAGCACAAGAAACAATACCACGAAGTTAGAGGTTAGTTTTGCAAAGTTTATGTTTAGCAGAAGAGGTTTTCAACGCATATGTTCACATAAAAATGTGTTGTAAAACATTAACGGCAGTGAAGTACAATTTAGTACTTTTCGAAGCTGATCCCATTGCAACGAAAAATTCAGAATTACCCCTCATCTGACATTTTTCCATCAGAGGAAGATATTGGGAATGAGCTTTTTGTTTTGTTTTTTTTTAAAAAAAAACATAAGGCGAAAAAATGAGGCACATCTCGTAATTTAATTCAGTTAAATTGTGACTTGATAGGTTTGATAAATGATCCTGATGCAATCATTTTTCAAATTACATTCATTAATTGGCATATAAAATGGTACTTGCAAACATAAACGTCATATCAGTTTTTCAGTCGGGCAAAAGTATAAGTGTCGTTATTGTAATGCGACCATGCAGACGAAAGAGGAATATTCAGAACATCTTGAAACGCAAAAGGAATATAACTGCACTTGGCTCGGATGTGAAATGAAATTCTGTTCTCGATCGGCACTTCAACAGCATCATAATATACATCAACCTAGACCTCAATGTGAAAATTGTGGCTATCTCTTTCCTCGCAACCGTACCCTACGAATACATCAGCAACGATGTCACGGAGGTAGTCGTAAGTTCCACAAAGTTTCCATTTAGCAAAAGATGTCTCGCAACGTATTTATTCACGTG